ATTTGGCCATTTCTTCTTCCACCTCCATATGGGAAGAAGAGGAGGTTATCCTCCAGGGCCATAGCAGAACAAGGGCTCTGGAACCTACCTTGCTAGGCCACACTGCATTTGCCCTTTCAGAACCTTGGCCCCTGGTCCCTGTACCCTCCCTCTCCAGTGGGCCACAGCTGTCTGAGAGGCCCTGGACACCCTACATTGTCTTGGCAAGTATTCATCTCTGAGCTCTCTGGATGACCTTAGCTCCTAGTGGTCAGCTTCCTAGTGGGCTCAGCCTCCTAGATTGATTGTGGACTCAGGACCATAAGATCCTGTGACAAGAACTGCATATTGTCCTTCTGGCCCACCTAGAACAAGCCAGGTGTATATGTCCTATATATCTAACTCGTAAAAAGGTTCCCTATGGATTCTCCTCTCCACAGTCTGGACTAAGGTTCATGGGGTGGTTCCATCTCCTCCAACTGGACTGAGCTTGTAGGAGAAAGGGATATCTCCCTCATCTAGAAGTCAAGTCCTAGGGGCTGCAGATCCTTACAGAGCACCCACCAAAGGCTGGGCTGACCATTCCTAGCAGGCCTACTGCACACTTGAGAAAGAGCCCTAAGGAAATCCATATGAGGTCTACCTAGAGTCTCAGTGTACCCTCTTGTTCTATCACAATTTGTGGAGATTTTTCCAGTTCACACTAGCTTCACTCAGCTCTGTAGCCACGGCTCTGAGCGCTATCCCCAAGCTGACATTTTAGACACAGGATAGAAGATCTCAGCTTATGTTACTAACTTAGGGATTGCCTTCCCTCCACCCTCCATGTACTCAGTTCTTTCCGGACAATTCACAGGGAAAGGGGTCCATAGCAGCTAATAGGCCAGGGGCTTTTATTTTCATTAGCCTTTCCTTGTTCATTGTTTGGTTTGGTTTTGTTTTTCACAAGCTTATAAAAAATAAAGACATTAGTTACTTATAATGCCAACTCAGTACCTACAGAAGAGTAGAGAGGGAAAACCAGAACATCCCTTCCTAGTAACACTCAGGCCTACTGTGGACACGCCCTTCACACATGCTTGCAGAGCATAGTAGCCATGAAGGGCTGTTGTAACAATAAGTCTTTCCACCAGGCTGCCCAAGTTCCATCCGCCTCCATGTTAAGGTCCCAAGTAACACACAGCAACTTATATTAGGTACAAATGCTGCTTGGCCAAAGACTAGGATTTCTCATCAGCTAGCTCAGTCTTAATGATCATAAATCTATATATTTTAAAAGACTTATTTCATTGGATGCCAGCAGTAAGCATCCTGTCTTCCCAGGCTCACATGATGACTCCAGGAAACTTTAAAAATTCAAAGAAAAAAATCTACCCAACCTCAGTATCCAACAGAATAATTCATTTTAGATCTCAGGTGCCTCAAACAACATTAAGCAACTGACCTTAGTCACACAGTCATCAGTGCTAAAAATCAATGTCAGTAAGGGTAGGGCCAATGAAAGCAAAATCCATCAAAGCTGTGTCTCTTGGAGACACAGGGGATGGCAAAGGCTTGGGGAATCATGGAGAGACGTGCATTCTAAACAGAATGGCATGTTTGTTACAAGCTTCATGGAAGCCAGTTATATGTTCTCCTGTGTGCTGATCCACTATCTTCATAGCTCTAGTCCGTTGTTTTCCAGCCTAATCAGCATATTTTATTTTGCATTATTTGAATTATCCTTTCAGACAATACCATCCTTGGGAAGTTGCTCAGGGCTCAGGAACGGGGCAAGGGCTTGCCCTCAGAATACTCGGCCTTCTTGACACGCTGCTTCATCTGTCGTGTTCGATGTTTGCTGGACAGCACCTCTGGCTTTCTGGTGAGTGGGTGGATGCCAGGGACACATGAGATACATGTGAAGAAAAGGTGGGGACAGAGTCAACACTATGTATGTGGAGTCTGCAAGCAAGTAAGCCAGCGGAGATGGACCTTGGCAGCTCTCACTGATCAGTAGATGGGGAGGTAACTAGATAAGGCCCCAGAGAGTTCTAAGAAAAGTGGGTGAAATATTTAAAAATTCACAATTTTCAATTCAATTTATTTAAAACTCATTTTAAAAGTCTTTTCTAGGGCTGGAGATGTAGTCAATAAGTAGGGTACTTCCCTAGCATGTACAAAGTCCTGGATTTGATTCCCAGTACCACATGAACTGTATATGGTGGCTCACACTTAAAATTCCAGAAGATGGAAGGTGGAAGTAGGGGGATCAGAAGTTCAATTATCTCCAGTTTTCCTGCCTGTATCACAAGACTTCCTTTTACTACATTTCCCAGAATCCTTGACTCCTAGTTCCACCTAACCTGCTTCTTCATTGGCCAACAGTACTTTATTCAACAACCAATAAGATAAACATATACAGAGAAGGACATTCCCCATCAGGCTGTGACAGCTTCTAGGCCCACAATCCATACCTGAAGTTGTTCTTATCTGGCCCCTTCTGCCTAACGTCACTGTAAGTGAGGACACAGTGAAACTACCCTATAAGACCATTGCTTGGGTGGAAAGAAAAATCCATTCAAAGCACCAAGTCAGAGAGTCAAAGACTCAGAGTCTCAAGTCTCGGGTGTCAAAGAAAATAGCAAAAGGTGGGGGAAAGCATTGCTGGTTTTATAATGGGAAGGAGCCTGGCAGTTTAGAATAGTGGGGAGGAAGTTTGTAGGACAGTTATGGGTATGTGTTAATAGGGACCTGTCTTAGGGTTACTATTGCTATAATGAAGCACCATGACCAAGAGCAAGACAGGGAGAAAAGGGCTTATTTGGCTCACATTTCCACATATAGTCTATCACTGAAGGAAGTCAGGACAGGAACTCAAACAAGGCCAGAACGTGGAGGCAGGAGCTGATGCAGAGGTAATGGAAGGGTGCTGCTTACTGACTTGCTCACATGGCTTGCTCATCCTGTTTTCTTATAGAACCCAAGACTGCCAACCCACAGGTGGCCCCACTCACAATGGGATAAGCCCTCGTACATCAATTATCAATTAAGAAAATACCCCACAGGCTTGCTTACAGCTCATCTTATGGAGGTATTTTCTCAATTGAGGCTCCCTTCTTTCTGATGACCCTATTTTGTGCCAAGTTAGCATAAAACTGTCAGGGGGGCTGGAGAGATGGCTCAGTGGTTAAGGGCACTGAATACTCTTCCAGAGGATCTGGGTTCAATTCCCAGCACACACATGGCAGCTCACAACTATCTGCAACTCCAAGATCTCACAGCCTCACACTGACAGACATACATGCAGGCAAACACCAATGCATATAAAATAAAAATAAATATGTCATATAAAATATATATATATATATATATAATCCTATGCTACCAGGGACAGGACTGAAAAGAGTGGGGATTTTGATATGTGCTAGTAGGGAACTAGATAAGGAGGTGATGGCTCTTCCTGACAGACAGAAATGCTGAGTGTAAGCTTCTGTTTATTGCTAGCAATCCTTCTGTTTACCTGATCAGAGTCCAGCTTGAGCTGAGCACATACTGTCAATTTGAACATTGGGACCTAACACCTTAGATTGACTTTGCCCAGTGATGGTAGATGAACATGGTAACAATTCATAGTTTATGGCTATACTTAATTCTTTGACCATTCATCAGTGAAATGGTAGCTGATTCCTGACCCCAGATTATACTCTATTGCTCATTTCTGCCTTTGATAAATCAACATCATTATTATTGGCTACAACAATGAAAAATTGATCCTTAGTAAGTATAGTTTTGGATCATGAGACCAAGTGAACAGAAAGAAAAATGCGGAGGGACAATGGCGAGGCAGCCTTCCTGGACTTCAGGTGCAGGTCTAGCCTTACATGTCCCACTCTGGCATGTTGTCCTGACCATAGGGCTCCACGCAAAAGATTTCTGCCCATGATTCCATACTTGTTATCACCATAAACAAGATCACTCGTCTTCTATCTGGGCAATCAATAGGTAATAAAGGCTTTTGTTCTAATAATGTTTCATTCTGAAATCTAAGTGTGTTGAGGGAGTTATTATTATAAATTCTCTTCATGAGAGAGCATTTTACTATATAATAGAGCAGAGGCAGACTTAGAATAAAACTGAAACAAACACCAAATAGAGGAATTAGTTTAATTTTGCAGTTGCAATGATGTCTACAAAAATAAATGTCTTCAGCAGACGACCTTCAGAGAATTGAGCCAGTCAAAATTCAACATGAATGGAAGAGGGGCTCACGAGGCCCCCACCCCTTGGTGAGGAACTATTGGCAAGTTGATGACTGCTAGGATAAAGAAAGTCATTTTTCTTTGTGAGTGTAATCACTGGTAGGTGGCCCGTGCTCTACTGGATGGCCTACACCCATGTGCATATCATGTGCACATAGGGAACACTAATTGGACTTAGTGGGTTTTTTAAAAAATAAAAGGGATATGAAGGGGAAGGAGACATATTGGGGGGTGGGGAGCTAACAGGAAGACTCAGGATTGGTATCGTCAATATATATTTTATATATGTATTAAATTCTCAAATAATAAATTAAAATATAGCTAAAGAGAAATAAGTGAGATTTATTCTTCCATTCAAATCTATTACCCATACCAATTCACAAAGAACAACTGATACTGGGTTAATTTAGGCACTTCATAGTCCCTTTCTACTTCATCCCAAAGTCTAGGCAGGGGTGGGGAGGGTACTGCCTGCCCAGGATGAATCACTTGTTAGAACACTGAGATCTGATTGACCTTATGTCAATAATTCTAAGTCAGAAAGAAACTGACAAGCACTGCAAATCTAGAATTGTTTTCCTCAGAGCTGGGCATTGAGTGTTCCCCAGTACACCACTGCCTAAACTTCCCCACATGTATGTGACTGGCACTAAGTGAATCCTGGCAATTATTTGTTCATTCCACAACCCACGGATGTACTCGGGCATGGATGAGTGGATGGGCTGGAAAGCTGGGAAGAAGGGAAGAAGATTGGAGGAAGAGAAGAGAGATGCATAAGGGATAAGTGGGTAAGGGTCCGTGCTGCTCACTCATCTGAAGTCAGGAAAACCCTGAAGGAAGTTGGGAACTAATTCAGTGGTATAGCAGCCTTCTCTCTATAAAACATATTTTTAAGATTTTCTTTTGTCACGAATACCTAAGCTCTTGGCTGGCACTTGAACTCATACTGTATATTCTAGATTAATAAAATCAAGCTGTCCTCATTTTCCCATTGAAAGTGGGGAATGCTAATTTGGAAATGGAAAGTTAAAGCTGGATCAGCTCCCAGGGAACTTCTGCAAAAGATGGCTGATGGCTGGGCATACGTCCATGACAACTCGGGTAGATGTGTACTCATGCCTGTCTATATATACAATGTGTGCATGGATGAGATTATGCTCTCCATAAATAGACCTGAGAATGCCAATGAAGGAACTGTAACCCTAGGGCAGAGCTCCACTAAGGTAGGGGAGGCAGGGGTTTCCTAAAGTCTTAGGATGATGATGGTATTGCTACAAAGTTATCCTCCCGACTCTGTGAACAGCTGTCTTCCTGTCTTTAAAACACCAGACTATGCAGTTCCAAGGAAAACTAAAATTCCTGTTTGGACAGAAGAAGAAGGCGCCATCAGGAACAGCCCTGCCCCCTCGGCTCTCGTTGTTTTGCATTGTGGTGCCAGTCCTGCCTTCTGTGGCTGAGATGAAAGTGAAAAGTGCATTCTTGAGGGCGAAGCACAGGGCAGACATTGTGGTTACAGTGGACTCAAGGTGAGCATGAACTGTCACATCATGACATTAAATTATGATAGCAAGATGTCCTACATGTTTTAATTTCTGTTTAATTGTTCCCAATAAGTAATGAATATGAAGTCTGATATTTTAAAAGTCTTTCCACAACGTACCCCGACTACTATTAGAGAAAAGTATCTCTTCAAAATTGGTGCAAACTGTAGCACCACGAACTTCCATTGCAGCTACTCTAAACCCTAGGCTGCCCTTAACCTCTAGGCTCAGGACTTTGCCCAAAATGAGTCTGTCACCTTTATGGGCCCTGCCTCCTCCTCAGTTTGTTGGTGTTGGGAACAACACAGATAGATATTTAGCCAGCACATGGAAGGTTAGTGTCAGGACTGTGCCAGTTTTCTAGGTCCTAGTAGACCGAGGCCCTCATCTGGCTAGTCCTGTGGCATTTTCTCAACTTTCAAGAGTAGAAAACCCTCCTAGTTTTCTGGGCCATGTCTATGATGAATTCACAGATCCATTTCCCAGAGAGATTTAAAATGTTATGCACATAGTGCTATTTTCTTTGGGGTATAGTGACATGGCAGTATGAGGTTAGAGGGAATTGGCAGACAGGGATGCATGCCTCAGTTCTGAATTTGATTCCTGTTGAGTGACATTATTCCTGGAGAGACACAAACAAATGTCTACTCAACAACCCGAGATAGTGAGCTGAAGATGGACCAAAGTATGGCTAGCACAAAGTCCAACTTGGTAAACTAATGAGTTTTACTAGGGTTACTTAGAGGAATGTGAGTGAGACTTACAGGAGCAGAAGTGACTCAAAGACAGCTTCATCACAATGGCCCACCCCAGCTAGAAACCTGGAGCATAGCACACACCCTGCAGGCAACGCAATGGGTCACGGAGTGGTCTTTCCTGGCGCTCTGTTGGTCTGAGCCTTTCCTAGGCAGTGCAGCTCCTCTGAGGGTCTTCTAGGCAGTTTGGCTTGTGAGACTGTTCAGCAGTTTTTGTTGCTTATATACTGTTGGGAGATGCCTAGTGAAGCTGTTCAGTTTCAGGGACTGTCCTATCTTAATGATCTTCCCCGAAGGATGGAATGTTTTGCCTTCCTTAGGACAACTTGTTGTTTTGCTTCACCTCTCTGTAAATATCCTGACATTAAACATTTCTTTTACATCCTATGTCTTAAGGAGTTTCTCTACCAGGAGGCTGCTACACAACAATTTTCTACATAGATTATGGGCAACACTTTTTTCCTGTTCCACTATAATAGCAGCAGTCAAAAAAGAAACAAAAAAACTAATTCCCAGATACTTGTATGTCCTTCAGTGACTAAAGCAGAACCAAGCTGCCCACCTCCCCCTTCCAGAGCATACAAAGGTCTCAGGCAACAGGCCTGGAATAAATAGTGAAATCTGAGATGGTGTCTCCATCTGTTTGAAATTGAGCTAGGAGTTTCAGCTGTAAGCATGACCTGAGCCATAGTGATCTACTCATGGAGGCAGATATGAACCCTTCTCTGGCCTTGGTAACTGGAAGAGTGCTGGGGAGGGGGCCTCTGGGACCACCATTTCCTTATCCATTTGTCTCCTCCATGGTACAGCCTCCAATGAGGGTAGTTAAATGTTTTATCAGACAATTTCGGGAGACAGTGTCCACTCTACTGGCCTCCCCATCCTGAACCGGGATGCCATGCCCCAAGCATCCAGGGACAGTGTCACTACTGAGTTCCTCCTGATTCATGGGCTACTCTGTGATTTCCCTTGGGTCACTGGCTGGAAAGGAATTTCTCCTTCAAAAAGCCAAATGGATCTATCAGGATGACCCAAAATTATTCTAAATAGAATTTAAGGGCAAAATCCATGACTCCAGTAGTCCTAGAAGGCCAGGCTTGGCCACTCATCCAGATATGCCCACTAAAGAGACCAGTAGTGATAAAGCAGAGAAGCAGACATTGATGGTAGTACTTTTGAAACAGGAACATATGAAAGGGCCACATCTTTGGAGCATTTGCATAAGCATTTGGCTAAAATAGAGGCAGAACTGGGGTAAGGGTAAGATGTATGCTAAATTAAGCAGTTCTAGTCAAGGCATGGCAATCTGGTTAATCATGGTTTCAATTCTGGTTCTGCAAAGTGGAAATGGTTAGTATTTCTTCAACTACAGCCCCACCATCATGGGTAGTCTGTCTAATGAGGCACCTCTGTTGCTGGAATCTAAGGTGTCTGCAGGTTTGGGGAAATGACTAAAGAACTTTTGTCACCTTTTGAGAATATGAAACAGAATGCAATAAAGAGCTGACAGTAAGATGCCTCCATTATTCTTACCTTTGTGCCTTGAAGCCGAATGACAAGTGTTCTGGATAGTTTTATGCCAACTACAAGTTAGAGATATCTGAAAAGGAGGGAATCTCAGCTGAGGAAATGTCTCTATAACATCCAACTGTAGGGCCTTTTCTTAATTAGTGATTGAAGGGAGAGGACCAGCCCATTGTGTGTGGTGCCATCCTTGAGCTGGTGGTTGATCATTGGGTTCTATAAGAAAATAAGATGAGCAAGCCATATAAGCAAGCCACTAAATAGAACTCCATGGCTTCTGCATCAGTTCCTGCCTCCAGGTTCCTGCCCTGCTTGAGTTCTTGCCCTCACTGCTTTCAAGGATGAACTGTTATACGGAATTGTGAGTGAAATAAACCCTTTCTTCCCCAAATTGTTTTTGGTCCTGATACTTCATCACAGCACTAACAACCATAAATAAGACAAATAGGATAGGTAGCCCTAGTTTCTAAATAGATGCTCCATGAAGGATTAGTGTACCTATGCGCATAGGTAAGCAGGTGATTAAATAAAGTAAAGGACACAGATGCAAAGTGAAGGTAGAGGTGCCAGACTTTCATCCTGCTTTTAGATAATTTGTGAGACCAAATAAGGAATTTGGTTTTTTAATAAAAACAGCTTCCAAGTGCCTTTATAACTCTCACCCAGCCCCTATACCCCATATTTACCCTGGGGATAGTGGCTTCATGATCACTAATTTATTATTATAGTGATTGTATAGAATATGACTTCCTTGAATCACAGGAGTCAATGTATTTTCATTCTAGCCTTCTGGAGGGGAGGAAAGTGCAATCTCTAAAAGCCACCTATGTGCCATCTACCCCCTGAAGTAATTAATTAGCTTTGTATTGAACCCCAAAGGCAACATGCTTCAGATCTTCAGGTATCTGTAACTAAGAAAAATCTCTGCAATATAAAGATTAAAGTGTGTAAGTTGTTTCTATATTCTCTTGAGCAAATAGTAATGCCTGTCTTGCTAATTCCTTTCATTGTCATATTGTTAATATACATTAATGCTGTTATCTGGTCTTCACAGGGTAAAAGCTGTTACAAGTCTGTGTGAATCAGAATTGCATCCCAAACCCAATTACTTAGCAGGTACTTCTAAAACTTTATTTTCTCTTCTTTTCTCTATGGCAAGATGCTTTTGTCCCCAAGAGAGTTCCCCAGTGCCTACAGAGCTCTTTGTATTCCCTGGAGATGCCAGGGTCATCAGGGAATACCACTGAGATAATTGCCTGCTGCTGTCACTCTGGTCCTGGTCACTGCTGAGAAAAATCACCTCCTTAGCCCTCATCATGACATCTTTTCCCTTTCTAAATTCTAACAGGAAAGAGCAATGGAGAAAATGGCATTTCACTGTTCAGGGGACAAATAGATAAGAGCCACTGGGCCCGGGCCCTAGCCAGGCCTTCATGTCTGTGCCTCAGAGGTGGTCCTGATCTCCTCCTGGACCCCAGGGGGGCTTCAGGGTAAGTGATGCCTGTTTAAGTCACTGTGGTTATCAGAGTGAAAGGGTTGGGATAGGCACGGAGAAGAAATAGTTTCTGTAGCCCTGACACCTGTGTGCTTGTAGACATCCTCTCAGCCTAGGCTGCCAGCAGTCAGGGAGGAGTATGTTTGGCTCAGAAATCCTTTCAGGTCACAGCCCTCCTCTCATGTGCCACCTGCCATATGCCCACCCTCTTGCCAAATCCTGACCAGGGGTCTCTATCAAATTGGCTACGAGGTAGTACCCTCCTTATCTCTCATCACACAGATGCTAGCCACAAAGTGTCCTGTGGTCAACCCCAGGACTGTTCTTTTAATTTGATAGTCACTACAGTATTATATTAGTCATGATATTGTGGCTGATGGAGGATACCCACCCATACCCAATGATGCTTCCCTGGAGCAAAATCAGCATGCTGCCTGGGAACCTAGGGGCCAAGGAAGGCAAGGTAGAGCAAGGAAGGCTCTTCACTCTTCCCTTGGATTGACAACAGGTGGTTGAAAAGGCCAGTGTGGTCTGGAAAGACTTGAAGCTGCCCTTGGGATTTATTTATTTATTTTAAATTTAAATTAGAAAAAAGCTTCTTTTACATGTCAATCCCAGTTTCCCCTCCCTCCCCTCCTCCCCTGTCCCTCACTGACCCCCTATCCCATCCCTTTTCTGCTCCCCCAGAGAGGGTGACACCTTCCATGGGGGATCTTCAAAGTCTGGCATATCATTTGGAGCAGGGCCTAGGGCCCTCCCCCATGTATCTAGGCTGAGAGAGTATCCCTCTATGTGGAATGGGATCCCAAAGTCCATTTGTATACTAGGGATAAATACCAGAGGCCCCATAGATTGCCCAGACCTCCAAACTGACATCTTCATTCAGGGGGTCTGGGTCGATCCTATGCTGGCTTTCCAGCTATCAGTCTGGGGTCCATGAGCAACACCTTGATCAGGTCAGCTGTTTCTGTGGGTTTCTCCAGACTGGTCTTGACCCCTTTGCTCACCACACCTCCCTCTCTGCAACTGGATTCCAGGAGTTCAGCTCAGTTTTTAGCTGTGTGTGTCTGCTTCTGCTTCCATCAGCTACTGGATGAAGCCTCTAGGATGGCATATAAGGTAGTCATCAATCTCATTATCAGAAAAGGGCATTTAAGGTAGCCACTCGACTATTGCTTAGATTGTAAGTTGGGGTCAACCTTGTAGATCTCTGTACATTTTCTTAGTGCCAGAATTCTCTTTATACCTATAATGGCTCTATGATGGTATCTCTTTTCTTGTTCTCCTCTATTTTTCCCTTGGCTAGATCTTCCTGCTCTTTCATGTCCTTCTCTCACACTTGGGATTTAATTGGTAGCATACTAAGTTGCCATCCTCTCATAGAAAACCTGAGGCCCTAAGGAGGTAAGAGTATCACTTCCATTGCTATGTTCAATGGCTCTCTTTTCTCTGAAGGGACAAAGAAGAAGAGGACCAGAAGCATGTACTAAGGAGATCCACTGGTGCCAGGGGTCAGAGGGAGATGCACAAGTACAATTATGGCTTGGAAACACCAGCACACTTGAGGCACCTGAACTGGAGCACAGAACAGAGAAGTCAGGAGGTCACCACCAAGCTGACTCGGCAGCCCAGTAAGAATGAGCCATCCACATGCCAAATGCCCCATGGTTCCTGTATGCCCTATCATGGAAGCCAGGGCATGTTCAGTGCCAGCAGTATGGCTTCTTTCAAAGATTTACCAGATCATCCCACTGGTGCCTACTGCAGCCAAATGAATAGACCCTTGCAAGATATCCACCAGGGCCAGGTACATCCTTCCACCTGTCATATCCCCCAAGGCAGCCTGGGATCCAGGATCCCTCTGCCTGGAATGCAGCGCTTCACAGCCAGGGGATTTTCTACAGAGGATGCAAAATTGTCCAGCCTGCCAGTCACCATAGACACCCCATGCAATCCAGTATTGTCACTGGAAGTGCCAATCAAGATGGAAAATGAATCTGGGTCCCAGGATATAGTTGATGCCAGCACAACTAGTCGGGTATGGCTGGGAGCTAGCCAGCTTGCCAGGAGACATCTGGTCAGTTTCCCTGCCAGGATGCACCTGAAAACAGAGCCCGACTATAGGCAACAGGTCTGTACCCCACACCTTGGGCATGGTATGCTGGTAACTAATGCCCACAGCAGAGATACTGTTGGATCCTGCAGGGAACAAGCTCCTCTCCATCCTGCACATTGCACCTGCCTGGATCCAGAGCCTCCTCATCACCTCTTCATGCGGGGCCACAGTGAGAGCCAACATCCCTCTTTGGTCCAAGACTGCAGTGCTCCTATTGTTAAGAGTGAACCCCTGGATTCGCCATCTTGGGCTGGTCCTGGCCAGGTGGCTGTGCCTAGGATGTTCCCTAAGAGTACCTCTATAACTGTGATCCCACCCAAAGGCTCTGATGGGATTTTCCTACCCTAGAGCTAGCTGCTTCTCTGCTGGAAATCTCAGTCCTTGGGTGATGGGATGTGATCAGAGATGCTTCTTGTAACACTTTACAGAACTCAGTGAGTGATTCTGACATTTCCTGTGTGTAGATGAGCAATAGAGCATCCTGAATCATATAGAATATCAGAGGATTCCCATGCATAAACCTAAGTCTGTTCAAGTGGACAGTATTTCTCTTTGAAATTAAAGAGTTTAAGGAAGTAGCATATAGTATTCTATGCCAGGCAAACATGATGTGTCAAAGTGATGTGTCCCTGATGCCCAATCTTGCTACATCCCCTGCCTGTATGCAACAGGAGTTCTGAGGAGATCTGAAGCCACACTTTGCATTGTGGTAGTCATGGAAACATTCCATCCCATTTGGTATTTTCCGTGGATTTCTGATTATGGTTTATATACCTGAGTCCCTGTGCACAACACACAGTGAACGTTATAGAGTCCAGGCCAGGAACGAGGGAAACACAGCATACAGAAAAGGGTGAAGCTATACTGTTGAGGAGGCATTGTCCCTGCCTGTTGTCCACATGGCTTTCAGGTAAAAGCAACAGTTCCTAGCCTAGGGAAACTTGGGGGCAGAAAGGCAGCCAGTATTTGTTTTGAATTGTAAAGGCAATGCACTCTGATTATAGGAAATGTGGATATTAACTATAAAACAAAAAGGAAGTTTACCACGAACCATTGGCAAACTTATGGCTGGTGGAGAAGTTGAGAGTGTTACAGGGAAGGGCTGAGACCACAAATCCTGCTCCATTAGCACAGGGTCCTCTGAACGGGAAAAAGCCTGCTGTGCTCTGCTTGCCTGTATGGTACAAATAGTCTTCCTTGGGGATGAGCATCCACCTCTGATGATACTTCCCCTGAGATCTTAGGAATTCTTGCTTAGGAGCTTTCTGGAGCCCATAGTTAATTCTACTAGGTAGTCTCTTCAATACAGACTCTCCCCTTTATCTGTGGTCCCAGGATATCATTGCTCAGCCACTGTCTTAGTGAAGTAGGTGTCTGGAAAATACCTATCGCCTTGTTGGAATCAGGTTGGGTTGGCAGGACCAGGTCCTCTGCTCTGCTTTTGAGTTGTCTGGCTCTCAAGATGACACTATGGGACAGGGATACCAGTGAAGACCTAGAACTGAGAAAACCCACTATGAGAGCCTGTGGATTTATGTTCTCTCTGTCCCTCAGTCCACAGAGGATTTTCAAAGGGGGCAAGACAGGAGCTGTGCTGTCATAGATGTGAGGCATACTCATTACCTCCATTACCTAAAGCCTGAAGTCAGAATGGTGTCTCAGCTCTGCACCCTGTGCCCAGCCACCTGTCTTCCTCCTTTCCTCAAATTGCCTCAGTCCCACTTTACGCATTTATGCCAAGCATAGCTTACCCTATGAGTATTAATGGATTGCAACTGGGAGAATCTGAGTCTTCCTCACCACATCCAATTCTAACCACATGCCCAGCTCCCAAGGACAGGACATGTTCAAACCACTCATGTGTCTGACATTCTAGTGTTTCTCTCTGAAAGTGATTAGCTATGTTCCTATCCTCAACCAGACTCAGCACCCTACATGCTTCCTATGCAAGGAGCAGAGAACACGTTAGACTGTTATGCTCCAATGTATACGACATTTCTCAAGCATCCTGGAGCCAGTAGAAGAAACCTGAGAAAAGAGTCCAAAAAGAGGGAATTCAGAGACATATGTAGGCATAGTGGTGTGTGCTACTCAAGTAGAAGATCAGCAGTTCAAGCCTACCTGAGACCCTTATCAAATAAAATAAAATAATGCATTATTACCTACTTGCCAATTTTAGCTAGATTCCTAAACCCTTTCTATGTAACCAAAGAAGAGCCATGCTCCTCACCACTGAAACCGGTTTGTCCTCTGCTCAGGTACTCTGAACCTTTCTGCACTGCTGCTGGGATGAGTTACCAAGTGTGGAGTGGAGAGTGGGCAGCTCAACAGGTCAGGCTTTATGTACACTGAGCTCTGCACTTGGATGTCAGTTCTGCAGATTTTATGTGTGAGAGACACCATGTCACGTGGCAAGCTTGGCTCCCTGGTGCCAGCACTGTCCACAGAAGCTCAAATCCCCTACATGTGCACTGATGTTTGTTGCTCATTCATCACAAATTCCCCAGTCAACTTGCACTGATGGGGAATGTTCTTCTGTATATGTTTCTCTTATTGGTTAATGAATAAAACACTGATTGGCCAGACAGGATGATAGGTAGGACTAGGAGAAAAAGAGGATTCTGGGAAGTATAGGCAGAGAGGAGTCATCATGTGATCCCAGGAAGTGACATAGCTGGGCAGAAACTGCCAGTAGCTAACCATAGAGGCCAAGAGGTCTGTACAGACAGGCAGGAAGTGACATAGCTAGGCAGAATCAGGATATAAGCAGGGACAAACAGGAAATCGTGTTCTTCTCTTTTCTGTGGAGACGTTGAGCCATCATTATGTAGCAGGCAAAGGAGTTGCAGGTCTGGTAAGCCAAGACCACATGGAAATACATGAATTAGTAGTTATGGGTTAATAATTAAGTCAGAGATAGCCAATAAGAAACCATGACCAACGTCCAAAATACTATAATTAATATAAGTTTCTGTGTGTTGTTTGGGGCTGACACGGTTGTGGGACCAGTCTGGTGGGAAGAATTCACATTACAGTGCACAGAGGTTACTCCTGTTCTAGGATTTCACATGTACACTAACTACAGCCTCACTTTTTTGTGATATCTAGCTTTTGCCTATATGGCTAAAAATATCAAATATCATGAGGGATGGGCTAAGAAGGAATAAATACAAAGTGTCCTTTATATTTGTAGTTTCTACTGAAAAAAAGTCTTCAAGATCTAGACTGGCCCAACAAACTTTAAACAGATACACTACAATGCAGCTTTCTGTGCTGTTTTCCTCGGTACTTTGTTTTTAACAGAGAATCCAAATGCATTTCTCATACTGTGGTCTGTACTAAATTTGCAAAACTTTTGTAAAATAAACCTCATGTTTCCTTGTACTTAGTGTAAGATTGTGTGCCTTTTCCTTCAGAGAGTGTTTTGGACTTACAGTCTAGGACAGAATGGAATAATAAATGTAAAAGTAGAAAGGCTGGAGTTGAGGGCTGGGGTTGGGTCCTCCTTTGCTCTCATTGAGGGTTGGGACCCTCACATGCCCTCAGGACACCCCCAGACTCACACTGTCTTTGGAGAGTGAGGAAGGCATGACAGAGGATTCTTTTTATCCAAGGGTATTTCTATCCTGCAATAGTTACCGCATTTTAATCCTTTTTCTTTATGTCTTGTGCATTTTGTATCTTCACAACAGTCTCTGTCTGTGGCTTTTGACAAAACATAATCCTGCAATAGTTACCGCATTTTAATCCTTTTTCTTTATGTCTTGTGCATTTTGTATCTTCACAACAGTCTGTGGCTTTTGACAAAACATATGCTATTTGATGCTAATGTCACCACCCACAAATTTTTTCAGATTTAATTGGCCATTGTGAGAAACCTCCTCTACTACTAACCCTTTTGTTTTTTTATGTTTTAAATTTTCTCTTGTAACAGTCTCACCATGACATACATACATACATACATACATACATACATACATACATACATATGCTTTTAGAGACAGGGTTTCTCTGTGTAGTTTTGGAGCCTATCCTGGCACTCTCTCTGGAGACCAGGCTGGCCTCGAACTCACAGAGATCCTCCTGCCTCTGCTCCCGAGTGCTTGGATTAAAGGCATGCACCACCACGCCCAGCCTGATTAATATATTTAGTTGTGCTCATCTGAGCACACTTTTACTTCCTATTCTGTTTTCAATTTTGTATGATCCAGTCTTCCTTTTCCCACTTTCTCTGCTCACAGGAATGCTCTGTGCTCTCTCTTCCTTCTTTTCCTTCTACTTTTTGGAAACTACAATTCTATATCCTTGGTACATATTTGATAATGTCTAACCTGTAGCTAAGCAAGAGCTCTGTCCTCTGAGAACAGGAACAGATCTTGGTCACATCAGAATTTGTTTCTGTTGATATTGAGGGGGCCCAAAGAGCCCCTGTGGATTTTCTTTGCCAAGAGTTGAGCCTCAGTACTACTTTTCAGGCCGAGAAGGAAGAATTTGTCCCATGTGAACTGTCTTTAGCAGCTTCCCTTCTCTAGAGCCCAGCATAGCTGTTTACCCTTCTAACCATGCCCAGGATATTATGTTTCTGGACTCACTCTTTCATCAAGGAAGCTCTGAGCTGATTTTCTGGGTTTTCCACTGTGAATCTCCGCCTACTTGGAACCTGTGTCTCCTCCCTTGCTCTGAGTGAGTGTAAAGTGTGTTTTGGAAGACTCACCTTCCTGCTTCAGGGCAGCCAAACTTTTAATCACTGCTTGTTTTTTTCCCTACCTTGGCCTTGGCTACTCTGCCTGTGAATCCACCTATACATTCAAAAGTATGCTTAGTATATTCATCCAGTGACCCCAAGTGTTTCCTATACTTTATCACCATGTGGCTGGCCAAAAACAGAAATCAAGAAAGATTCTTAATTTTTATTTTTTTTTAGTTGTAAGGAAACAGACATTGAGTCGTTCCTGAAACAGTTCACCTCTAACTAGGCTAGCTAACTGAATCTTTAGGGAGCACCACATAGTAGGCAGCAGTAGATTAGGGTTAGATATAAGATAACCAAGAAAAACTACAGCTTTGTCTTGGTAACTGTGCCTACTGACTTGACAGTTAAACATTCACGAAACTGAAGTTCTTCCTGCTACATCATAAACTAAGGGACCAGAGCACTTTCCCACCTGCAACTCATGCACCAAGGGAGACTCTGCATCTTCAAAAGACTTTATCACCTCGTTTGCATTGTAGTTATGACAGGTTATCCACAGTGTTCCTTCCTTTCCTGACGATCTGCCCTATCATCCATCTGTCTGGGAGATTCCAACTTTGAAGTGGCGTTACGGGTAGGTATGCTATTCAACAAGAATGTATGTAGAAAAGGTGAAAAACTCAGGGTAGAGTTGTCAAAACCTGATGAGTCTTTACCCAAAAGAAGAACTTAAACCCTCCAAATTGATTTACTAAAAGTTTACACCAGTGTGGGAAAGTCTCCTTGTCTGTAGAGGTAGGGAAACTTGTAAAAAGTTTATGACTGTTCCTGGTTGCCAAAGCAACCTGATGCTTCCCTGCTTCCTTCAGCTGGAGGAATTGCTTGTGTTTTTGTTTTCTCTGTAGCTTCTATGGGCTATGGTGACAGCTGTCAGCAGCACCCCACTCTCTGTGCCTCCATTGTCTAGAACACCATAATTTACCAGCTGTCAGAAACCTCTAGAGGACAGTTGAGGGCAAGGATAGCAAGAAGAAACAAATATACGACGTACAAGTGGTGCAACTTCGAATACACGCCACAGCAAAGCGATGGAGAGGTGTGGAGAGACCGAGGTGGCTAAGGAGAGGGATTGAGCAAGGACAGCATGAGAGGCGAATCCCAAGAAAAGGGGTGGGTACAGCAGGTGCCACATCAGAAGAGAGGGGCGGGAAGGCGCTGAGCCGGGCCAGGATCCGCGATTCCCGGACGTTCTGAGTCTGTGTCACAGGGGCAGGACAAGTTCCCAAGAAGACCACTGAAGGATTACCCACACAGCAGCAGCCTTCAAGGCTGCCCTGGTCCCGTTCTTCCGTCCCAACACCGGAAACGGAAGTGACCACGCTGCACACTTCCGGTCGGGCTCCGGGAGGTGGAAGCAGCTGCCGGACGGTGAGGAGCCTCAGTTCTGACGGCCTCGGGTCGTGGCTCTGTGGGCGGGGCGCTGGGAGCTGGCACGCTGTGCCCCTTAGCGGGTTTGCACTTTGGCGAGGGACCCCATTGGCTTTGGTGCGGGTCCCGGGCGGGTTTGGTTTGTCCTTGACGAGCGTCCCCCCTTGGGCGGGGCTGTCTCCGCCCTCAGAGTTAGTTCCCTTTTGCCCCTGTGGCCTGAAATCTGACAGTCCAGGCTGGATGGAGATCCCGTGTCATTTCTTACCTCCCGGTTCTGTGTTCCGGTGTGTGAGTGGATTCTTTCTTGCAAAGGTTTTGTGAGCTTTCCTTCAGCATCTGGCTTGTACCACTGCCACTGGGACTGCCTTTCACCTGTCAGCTGGAGTGGGTGACACTGTGCCAACCGGAGTGGTTGGATGCTGAGTATAACACCTAGCACCGTAAATAGAATTATGCCGGTTTTAATGTCGTTGGGAATGCTGAGGATAACATGTCAAACCAAAGCAAGAAAGCCAAAACCTACAATTGCAATTTTCTCAATTTATAAAGACATAGAGAAGAGAGAAATAAAAACAGTCCTGTTAGAAAGTGGTAGCCTCTAGAATCCTATTTCCATTGCCTGCTAGGATTTTCTATTTGTGTGTATGTAATTTTATAATCGGAAGGTGAAGAAAGATAGTGTTTGCAGTGCTGTTCCACTTGAATGAGAAGTGCAAAAAGAGAGAGATGCAAAGGGAGAAGTTACATGCCTGGAAATCTACGATGGATTTTAGTGGTTTTCTGAGACTACATGGGAATGGAGAGTGAAAAGCTCCAGGAGGTGGTCTTTTTTTTTTTTATCACATCTGTGAATTTTGAGTAGCTGAAATCTAGCGAAGCAATGTTATTGATTTCCCTCTTTCACTAGAAAAATAGCCTGTGTAGGTCCACGACTAGGATAGTATTGGCTCTCAGATTGAAGTCTGACTGACCTAGTATCTGAACATCTATCTGTGCTTAGGGGAACAAACTACTTGAGTGAGGAGAATATGTTCCTTTTTTTCCTGTCTTAACTTTATTTTGAAGGTGTTAAAAAGTAAAAAATGGAATCTTGGGTACTCAGAGCAGTGCTAACGGGGAGTCATAGGATTCATGTTTGCTCACTGAGCTGCTGAGGTGTATGTAATAGTCATTGTCTTCCAGTGAGTACCAGTGGGCATGGCCA